TACCTTTTTGAGCTGTGCCCTCTGGTCTGGCCAGTGACTGAGCTGCTTGTGGCTTTGGAAGCCTTAGATATAGGCCTTCTACTTTCAGGTGGGGAATTTGCTTTTTGTTTGACCTGCTCTGACTGCAACCTGTAAGGTTGAAAGTTCAAGTGCAAGGAACAGTGTGGGTGTTTGTACTTAAACCACAGAGAATAACAGATTTAATCCATGCGAATAATTTTTGACAATTGCCTTTGAACATTAGCTCTTGCAAGCATGGCAAACTTCAAACTACCAGTATACTGGTCATATTCTAGATATGATACGTGTAGAGTGGAACACAAAATGCTCTGGCAAGAAGGTCAACCTCTGTTTTGTTTTTGTTCCATATTCTCATATTTTAAAACCAAGGAAACAAAAGTCAGTTGTAGAGTCTAAGTGTCACCATAATCAAGCCTTCATAATAACCGCAGTAACTTTTTAACACTGAGAAACAGAGCTACTTCCTAGATATTAAGGGCAAAGAGCTACCAGTTTGACACCCACTTTTTAAATAGTAAATGTGCTCAAACTATCTTTGATCACGTTATTATTCATAAGAAACCAGATAAATGTGCCATTTCTAAAAATGTCACATTTTCAAATGATTACTCCGATAACATATCGTAACACTGGTGAGCTATTTTTAGAACAGGCCAAAAGACTCCTCAAGTGTTCCTTGGGGGCTACCTGGTGCCAACAGCCGCCATGTTGGAGAAGCTTTTCCACAGTCAAAAAAACTATTTCCAGGTTTTATGCGAGTGGGACACAATGTGCCCTGGCTCAGCGGCGCAAACTATCATGGCCTGTGTCTGTTATTGACTACCAGTCTGCTGTGAGATTATCATGGGGTGTGCCGCAGAAAATCACCCAATGTCAATTATTTTGCCAAAATTTATTTTATTTTCTATTAAGAAAAATGTTTTTGTTTATGATTATGTAATTTATCTGTCAACCATGCACAGTGACAGGCAGAACAATCAACTGCCTTTCCACTATATGAGATGTTTTTGCGTATCGTTTCCCTAAATCGAATCTGCTTTTACTTTCCATATTTTCTGACATGCTACAGACCCAATATAAAATAATGGCCTGTTCTTGTACAGCAAAAGACAAAAATTTGGATCAAATGTTTTTCTGAGCAGTCTATTTCTATTGATAAAAAAATGTGATACCGTTCAAAATATTGTATGGAGGGCATTAAAACACAATATATGCTCACACGGTTCACATGGCAGGGAGTCTACAAATGATATCACCCAATGTGTGTGGGCGAGTGGTCAACTGCCATATTGTGTGATGGTCGGATATGAGTTGATTCCAGTATGCGGTGAACCTAAGGCAACATCAAAAGGCACAGTGATTGGCAGTGAACACTCACTGCCCTATCTTTTTGTTTTTTTGTTTTTATTCTTTGACCACAGTGGTTTTGTGTGCAACTGATGCATGCTTAATTTTGTGCATTAATAAAATAGATGCTTATGGTTTGAGCTTGAAAATTTTATTTTTCCAATTATGAAGGGTTTGGTGAAAGCATGTATGAAATTGCGATGTTTATTACCGCTGACAAGGTGAAGAATCACTGCCATCAACCATCAAGTCAAGTTATATACTCATTTGAATGATAGGCTAGTTAACAAACAGTATAATGATTTATTCACAAAGAAACATACCTTCCAGCAACTGTGTGGTCTTGTGGCTGGGCCGCAGCAGTGTTCCTCTGTGAACGGCGCAGTGACCCCCCTGGATTGGAATTAGGCCGGTTGGACATTGGCACCTCTCTCCTGAAGGGACATACCCTTTCTAGACACTACCATTCACTGTAATCAAAGAGAGAATTTGGAAAAAAAAATCCTTATGTTAGTGTGATACTACTACTATAGATTTATCGACATTTGGTAAGTATTTGGAAAATCAATATAGCATTTGACTATAATTAGAATGTCATTTAAATCTAATCAGCGAACAAACAGGGCAATCATTCCTGGATTATTTAACTGAATAGGTTACATTTTAGCAGAACAGATGATTCTCTGCGTCATCTTTTTTTTTTTTAACATTCAATTACCTACTATCATGTTGGCCTCATGTGGTGAAGAATTTCGCGTAAATGGCTTCCATTCATGAATGAATAAAATGCTTGTTGATGCATGTCAATTACAAAGAATAATCATGAGTAAACTTGATTGGATTATATGTAAAACCATCAAAAGAAATCAGGGAAATTCTGCCTCTTCAAGGAATTCTACAATTGATGTGGTTAGTACTGCAAGGGAATGAATCAAATGTTTTGACTTGGTTCACGTTTCCCACACACATGAGATTATCAACAATTACCGACGTGCATCACAAAATGATTTTCACGGTTATTTCAGACAAAAGAAAAACACCGATTTTTAAAGAAAAAAAATGAAATAAGTGACCATAAAAATACGACATACTAAGGCCATTTTAGGCCCTCACTGACAGTGAATCCTGGTCTTTGTTTATTCGTCTGTCCGGGTGGACGACGCGTACCTTTTCCGTTAAGTTCCAACGTTGTCGGCAACACTAAACAAACCGGAGTTAACTCTGATGCGCCAGTCATAAAACACAACGGAGTCTATTTGTTCAAACCTTGATAATAGAGGACTGGATTTTTGACGTAGCTCTCTACAGTCACCGACTAGCATGTTAAGCTAGTACCTAAAATGTTACCACAGAATGTGTCCCTTTTGTACACTGCATACGTGTTTAGAACCCAAACCAAAACTGGTTAACGATCGGTTAGTGGCTATTATTAGGACACGTTGTTAGTAAACGCATACACGACATCCAGTCGGCTAAAAGTATAGCAGCTAATGGAGCAGTGGGTTGATTAAATGCGTAGTTGGCGTACCGGTGTGTCCACCTTTCAACCTGAAGCTCTCAACCAAACTCACTTATCTGTTTCTTTGCTTGATTTCCATAGAATCTACCCCGTTCGTGCAGTTCAATGTTATTTTTAAGTCCTGTCGAGACACGGCCCTTTTGACAGGATACACATTCGATCGCCAAACAATCCGGTTAGCGTCACAGATCGAACACGATAGCATCGAAGGCGATTAATGACACACGGCAAGCCAGCAGGCTACAATAAATCCAGCGCCAGCTAACTTATTATATGCAAACTATCGTGACAATTCTGGTCTGTAGACCATACTGGCTAACTACACCACTCACGGGACTCTCAGGAAAGTTTAGCTTACATGACGTGCTGTTGTATGTGATGATTAAGCCAGCAACACTAAATGGTCGAATTCACGAAAAAACAGTTACCAGGCATATCCAGCATCTCTTCCGCGAGTGTCGATGTGAACGCAGAACTCGCAAGTATGGCTAACTAAGGATAGCAAGCTAAGATCACCAATGTTTTCCGAGGTGATAGAAGGCCAATGTCCTACTCTCAGTGACGCCAACTCGCGTTTGTCTTTAATGTTTCAGAGGCAGACACAAGTTGAGCGAACACGCGACATCTGACATTTAAACCCGTGAATTATACTGTGCTGTGCCAACACAATATTTAAACACCTTAGCACTGACGACCAGGTTGTTCACGCATTATTTTGGGGCTAAACTAGCCTAGCCAGATACGATAGCAGACGCTTCCAATTTGTTTACTTGCAAACAGTGAGCTGACATAATGGCTCACCAGAGCTTCGTTATCGTTTGCCAAGAGCTGTGGTAGCTGCTCAGTTCAAAATAAAATACTGACCTTAACATTGAATTCGGTACAATAGGAGACAGTCGTTGACGCTGAACGTTGCCAAACCAAACAAGAGGGATACAGCTACCAGCTAGCACTGGCACTGGAGCTACTTTTTATTAGCATGCCTTCTTGTCGCTAGCTTGCGTTTTCGCCAGCAAGACGAGATGTGATTCTCTGAACTGCGGATTCACTGCACCAGTCAAACGATGTACATGAGGCTGCAACTGAGTCGCAGTGAACTAAGTGTACAGTCTCCTTTTCTAGGTTTCACGTCAGCTAGCAAAACGAAATGGCCTCGGATACCTTTTAGACACAAAAACAGAAAAGCACAGACAGGATTCGAGACCTTAAACAAAGCCTAGTGCATTATTTCATTTGATCAATTTCGATTGTGGAATTTTCGACACGTCTTAAGGCTGTCAAGCCAAGTGTCACTGAAAAGCGATACATTTATTTGAACGGTGTTACCTATTTCTTCCAGTGTTGTAGTTGTAACAGACAGTGCACCAGCTCCTCTATTTTCTCTCTCCGACCCTGTCTTACCTCTAGTTTGACATCAGCTGAGAGACCGACAACAGTGATCCGCCAGATTCATCCGCGCAGGGACTAGATTCTTCTGATGTTCGCTTCCGGTTTTAGCCGCATTCGAACGCTGTTGCTCTATTGGACACTTTTCTAACTTTGAGAAAATGACTTGGCACCTATGTGATGATATCTGCAGGGTGCACACCACATACCTTAATTTCACCCATTTCCGCACATAAAGACATGAGTTTTACTTTTGGGGGGGGAAAAAAACCCTTTCACACAATAGCCTATTCATGGCATCTTTTGCTAAGAGCATAATTGCCTTTCAAGGACACCCAGTCTCAAATGTTGTAATTATGCAGTAATACAGCGGTAATTCTGTTAGTTATATATATTTGAAAATGAATTAATTTAATGTTGGATAAAATCAAATTATCACCCGTCAGTCTTTCATTAGTTACAAATGCTGACGTGCGATGTATGGGGGACTAGAGAGAATAAATAAAACCTTTAAATTAGGAGTGTGACTTCATGACAAGGTCAGCGGTCACTTGTCACCCTTGCTTCCTGTTTATGTTCCAGTAAAGAAGCTTTTGCGATATCTACTGGAAGCAATCGGCACGGCAGTCTCTGCATGCTCTCCCCGGCAGCCAGCAGAGGACGCAACACGGCAAAGAAAAGTGCCGGCCGGTCAGATGGCGCTGGTAGGCGGGGGATCAAGTCGGTAACGTGTGCAAAGCAAGTGCTGTCATTTTGTTTCCCATTTCAGGCCTACAGACTACAACACATTTCAGACACATAAGAAAAAGTCCTACATCACCCGAAACTTGCACAGACAAGCAACATTACCGTCAGGCAGAGGTAGGCGTATTTCATATTGTTTCTTTGTTTCTACTGGAGACTATTCCTAGTTAAACAGATGGTACAAAAAACGCCTGGAAATCTAAACACCAACATGATCAGGTAGGGCATGTGCTTATTTTATAACTTCCATTGTGTAGTGTTCCACGTAATGATCAAGATGATGTCATTTTAAGGTGGAGGGTATGTCTAAATACTGTACAGGGCAAGCACGTTAAGTGTCAAGTTCAGCTAGCTAGCTTGCTATGTTGAATGATCTGCTCTAACATGACCACACAGAATTTGACTGGAAGGGATTGGTTTATTATTAGGTTCTAAACACCGGATACTGCCTTTTCAGCTGCCCCGCAGATGACAAAAAATATTCATTACATAACAATAAAAGATCTGTCTGGCATACCATTCCTGAATACTACAGAACACGGCCTGAATCTGAGGCAGAATGGTGGCCTCATCTATGTGTTTGCTGGAATGGCATCATGAAGTGCCGCTTGTTGTTTTCCCTCATCCCCAGCCTCAAGCTTGTCTTTGTGGGTCAGTGATGCAACGAGAGTGACGCAGCAGTGGCTGCAGCTCTCAGAAGACTGCTAGCTATACATGGCAATGAAAGAATCATGGATCCAGGGCCAACAGCGTGTTCCACAGAAAGCTACTCGACAACACTGAAGAAACACAATGGTAAACACTTGATCCAGAGCAAAGGCAGAACAAGACCCCAACAAGAATTTCCAAGGCTGCACATTCAAGAATCTCTGCACCTTCAGGTAAGCAACTCAAAGTGTGCTTGTTGTGGTGACATCGGAAGATCTCACGGATGTGTGTCGAGTGTGAATGGTTAGTCGGTGAAGATTAGGCCAAGCCTGCTTTTTTAAACATGTCGTGCGGCCTTTATAGACGTTTAGTATCAGTTAAATACAGACCACAAATGATGGGCGTTGGAAACATTTCATGTGAGAAACCAAAGGCATTTCAAATATTTTTCAGTCCCAGTTAAGTCCAAAAAAATGGCTTCTAAATTTGACACGCCAATGAGAAGAGTACTATTATCACCCTCAAATTTGAATGAATAAAAAAAAAAAACAACAACGAATCACAGAGGACATAAAATGAAGATTCAAAATCTTGAAAACCCAAGCTTTCTTTGCTGCTCTTGAGTGCTGTGGCTGTGTCGGCTGAATGCGCTGAAACCACACCTCTCTCAACTGTCAAATACCAGTACTATGACCTGGGAAATCGAATGTGACTTTGTCTAGCATCTTTATTATGCCTGCACACAATTAAGTTTGAGTCTTGAAAATATAGTGAATAACATACTCATTTCATTTTTTTCTTTTCTTTTTATTTTCTGCAACGAGGGCTGCCCAAACAATTATTTTGCTAGTCGACTAATCACCAATAGTAGTCACGATTAGTCGACTAATCTGATCATATATAAATCGTGGGATATCACACCAGCAAGCAGCTGCTGTTTTAATAACTATTATACCTTACATCTTGAATTTTTTAAAGATATGTACTAATATAGTAATAACGAAAATTAAGATGACAGTATATTGAACTGTTATTCAACTTTGCTGCTTGTACCAGCACTCTTGACTTGTTTATAAATAAGCGAGCAACGTATTCAATGTCACAAATGAAATCAACAATCAATAACAAGACATACATCTTTGAAAGAGAAGTACTGTTTCACTCGGCATACTACGATCGATTGGTGGCTGATAATTATCGGTTGATCTTCGTGAGAAAGTGCATGATCGATGAATCCGATCAAAGCCTCTAAAAGCCGATCGATCACCCTATGTATATAATTCTGGTAAGCGAGTGACGTATGTTTCTCTAAAGAAAAAAAAATTACTCACATCTACCTTAAAAAAATAAGTAGAGGCACGTTACTGTCTCACACAACTTACAGTTAATGTTTGTTCAAATACAACCAGAAAAAAAAAAGTGTCAAATATTTTCATTTACTTTGACATATTCAGCTACTGGTAACAGAAACACATATTTAGCTTAGCTTATATAGCAAAAACAATACGTCCACCATTCATCCGAGCCACTTATCCTCACGAGGGTTGCGGGCGTGCTGAAGCCTATCTCAGCTGCCTTCGGGCAGTAGCCGGGGTACACCCTGACTGAACTGGTTGCCAGACAATCGCAGTGCACACATAGACGAACAACCATTCATGCTCACAATCACAGCTCGGGACAATTTAGAAAGTTCATACTACACATGTTTTTGGAATGTGGGAGGAAACCAGAGTGCCTGGAGAAATTCCACACAGGCACGGGGAGAACATGTAACCCTAACCCTAACCTCTACACTGTGAGGTGGACGTGCTAACCAGTCGTCCACCGTGCCGCTACACAAGGAATACCAGACAGCGCATGCCATTGTAAATGTTAGCTCAGTATCTGGTGAGCGCACATTGTTACAGTTTGAAATTACAATTGAATTCTAACTAGCAGAGGTTGAACAGAGTAGTCATCTACTTTTTGTTGATTTGTTGACTTTACTATTCCACGGCGACATTTACAGCATGTGGCTAGTCGCTAGTGTTGGGGGAAGAGCGGCCTCCTCTTCCCCGCGTGTTCGTTGAATTTCGGATGAGGGGAATGTTGGTTTTTCAAATAAAGGCTGGAATCGATGAACAGTTTCTTCGAAGCATTTAATAACAGAATATTCCGGGCACCCGCAAATTACAGACAATCGCTGCGCGTCACGAGTGCGAAGCAGGAAGAGATTCACATCATTTTTATACCATCAGAAGGGCGTTACCGAGACACAAAGCGTGATATCATAACTTTCGTTTCTCCTAAACCGATTCTCAGCTTGGCGCATACCAAAGTTTGTGCGTCTTCAGCAGGGAGTATTCCAATTCTAGGTGATGATTGTTACAAGGACGCAAAGCTACACTACGGGCATGGGAAAGTTATACAGCATGCCCAAATATGAGCATATTACAGACTTCACTCGTCACCTTTTTGGCTCGAAGGGGAAGCAGAGATGCTTGCAACAACATACAGCACGTGGACTGAATCAAATTCGTATGTCACCTTAATTGATTTCAACTGACTTCTATTTCTCATTTCTTCTGTAAGTCTGACGGAACTAGTAAAGGGGGAAAAAAGGCCAACGGTGGCAAACAGGATTTTGAACAACCATTCCGTCCATAATGTCAAAGTGGAAAGAGACTGGAGAATGCAATAATACTATAGTGTAGTTTAAGGTTAAGTTAGATACCCGAATGTTAAAATGACCTGGCAATGACAAATCTGTTTGACCATTGAGCAAGGAGCAGTGGTTAACACCATCTGCTCTCGGCACATTTGGAACCTCAGATAGAGTAGGAGTAATGCTTAGTAGCACCAGTGTAAAAGCACCGCTAGCAAGTAGAGCTCCTGTGAAGTGAGTACTAGCTACCATAGGGTGAAAAAGCACAAACACGTGCACTGGCTGCTCTTCTGGCTAACGTAATGTGCATCCTGTGTTTGGTTAGCTGTATTTGTGATACATCAGTAATTTCTTTACCGTGGTATTTACAGTGAGTTTGGGTGATCAGTTTATTTGATTGACACGTGCTGGTTCCTTTTTACGAACAGTGGTCAGAGTTGTTCTTAGCCATGTTGAGGAGACGGAAGAGTGTCATGTGACACCCCCCTCCCACACTGAGTGGTGGAAATAAAAGCCCTGTTTTCATCCTCAGAGGCTCAAAGTGTCATGGTGGGTTCAGCTTCAGCCCCTCCCCCACATCGTCTGCAGTGCTGACGCATCCGCTGCTTGTGCATCAATCAACACCCTCTATGTCTGCATATATTGCGCCAGTATCAGAACTGTTTTACCTCAAGCATTCAGTTGCCATGCTCATTGAAACTGCGAGTGAAAACATTTAGAGCAGTCTCTTCCTGGCTTGCAGTGGTAGAAATTAGGACTACTGTTGCCGCCATCTTCTCTCCGGTTCTGCATTACCAACCACTGCCTCTGTATGAGCACAGGCGAAGAAGAGCTTGTGTGTAACATACTGGGTGAGACCGCGCATGAAATAACCCTGTGCATTATTATTTTTCCTCAGCAGTGGATTGCAGATGATATAAATAGCTGGTGTGATGCTATGGGGGATTAATGAGGCATTTCTGAAGAAGCAGAGGACTCCTGCTACCAGTGATGCATTTGCCTTGGCTCTTTTATCGGGCACAGAGCTTGTGTGATGTAGCGCCCAGCATCGCTCAGTTTTCAATAACCCGCTGCCATGCTTGAAAAAAGTTGCAGTTTCCTGCAAAATACGTGCCGGTTGCCCAGCTAGCACAAAGGTGAGCCCATCCTCCAAGTATAGCTACACGACAGAGGAAGGACAGCCCGAGAAGAGAAAAGCAGGGCAGATTCACTTTTGGACTTGGGTTGCACGGCTGGAGGCAAAGGACAAGGAAGCTGGAGTCATCATCACACAGAAAGGGAGAGAAGCAATGATGTTTGAAAAGACTCTGCTTTTGATAGCCCCACTGTTCGCCGACTATGAAAATAAGACTTAAGTCTTATTCCCACGAAACCATTTCTTTTCTTGTGAAGTAGGTTTGAGATGTAAAGAAAATTGACACTACGTGGCTCTCCATCAGTTTCTCTGACTTGCTAAGGTATGTTTTGCATGATTGATCTCAATTTACATTTGGTGTTGAAGCACACGTTCGAGGTGTGTAGCATTTGCTTAGTTGATGTTTTTGCCGGTTATCTTTGAGAAGGTAGTACAACAATATGTTTAAGTTTGAGGAGAAGTGGATTTCATATCATATAATGATATAAAAAAGATTCCCTTCAGCGGTCCTATATAGTTCTGTGTTGTGAAATTATGAGCTCTGAGCACGATGTAAAAATTTCTGATCAACCTGTGGGATCAAAGAGTTCCATTTAAATATAGATATATATGTAGATTTTTTTTTTTTTTTTAAGCGAGGTATGGCAACCTTAAAATGTCAAGGTGAACCTTGAGAGCAGACAAGCTATGGCACATCACATGCTGTGTTAAGGGATTCAGTTTGGTAGAATGTCCGCTGCAGAGAACGTAAAAGACACAAAGAAGCTTCAAGCGGAGACAAAGATCACATCGCTTACTAGGCAACTGTGAGTGCGGGTTTACTCGAAAAATAAAATGTTTGCGGAAAAATCTGACAACAATAGATAGTAGTGTTTCTTGCAATTCCACTTCATCTCAACACATACTGCGCAAAAATAGTAGGTTGCCATAACAACAGAAGCCTGTTGAAGAATGTGGACAAGGAGGCTGGTTGTAGTTTCAGCAATATGAGTGTTTAAAAAAATGGTGGCCATATTATATTTGTTCCACAATTAGAACTTTTACAACAATGTAATGCCCCATATCTTACTTAAAAGTCTGGAAGTTGAAACAAAATTGAATACATGTCAACGTGATGATGACATTGATGATGGTGATTTTTGCCCAAAAGAAACAATCCAAGTGCTACATGATTTAGTAGCACTTAGACCAGGGTCACTGGCATGGCTTGATCATTCTTGCTGTGATGAATTCTCTTTCAGAGAGACAGTGAATAAACTGGATCTTCCATTATGTCTTCATATAAATCCTGCTTTGTAATCAATTCCACATATTTTAACAGTGAAAACTAATTATAGAGCACAACCAACATGAGCAGAGTTTTTCTTTTTTTCTTTAACGAGATCACAGTCATGTTTTGATGCGTTGACAGGAGTTTTTGTCTGACATTTGGATTATTCACATATAAAAACAAATATTTTACTTATGATACATGGGATAAAATAGTACCATTACAAAGAATGAGTGATTTATGTAGGACTATTGACCTGCTGGCATGGATGCTTTGCTGTCTGGACATTACTGCCATCTAGTGTTGTGATATTAGCTAAATTTTGTGAAGGGTCTTTATGTTGTTGTGGATTTATATTTCCAAAATTAATGTGTATAACTAATGTAAATTGTTCTTATTTTTTTTTCTTTTTTTTTTTAGATGGCTGCGAATTGTTGCTTCAGTTAGAACCTGATGGATAGTTTTCACCCTCACACCGTGCTCAGCAAGCTTAATGAGCAGCGCTCACTCGGCCTTTTCTGTGATGTGACTATTGTAGTGGAGGATGTGAAGTTTCGTGCCCACAAGAACATCCTGGCAGCTTGCAGTGGCTACTTCAAGAATGCTCTGTCAAATGAGACATGGAGTTCTAGCCGTGTGCTGGAACTGATGGACCTGAAGTCTGAAGTTTTTGCCTGCGTCCTCAATTTTATCTACTCCGCAAAGGTGACATCGCCTTGTGTTGAGGACAAGAAGGAGCTAATAGCAGCAGGGAAAAGACTTGGTATTCCCTTTTTAGAGAAGCTTGCAGGGCAAGAGAAAAAGGACAAGAATCAATACCAACTGGACTGCGTTAAATCCACAGACTGGAGCAGTAAAAAAACAAAGGAGGAGGTCACCAGACCTGAGGAGATTGATGGTTCAAGAGGACCACGAATCACCAATGCCTTCTCTATCACTGAGGTGTGTCCTGGGAACAATCCATTCACCCCACTAGGAGACGGTAGGCAGTCACCAGATGAGGGGCAGCTCCCAGCGGGTTGCTTAAAATCTTCTTGCCTTGATGGAATCGGTGAAACCCCCACTTTCTTAGACCACTCGTATGCTATGATCAAAGTACCCGAAGAAAAAGTTCCGACGAGTCAATGGGACAGCAAGAAGGTGTCTCAGTTTGCAGCATTCCAGCCAAAGCAAAATACTTACCGCAATTCGGGCCCACTAAAAAAGCGCCACAGGCTTAGAGGTGCTTTGTTTCGAAATGAATTTCCAACACATACGGAACGACACGTGGAAAAAAATAAGACGTTAACCCCAACATTAGCCGAGGGAGCGACTTCAGCACATCCACCCTTTCCACAAAGTGAACAAGATAAGCCCAGTGCTGCAGTTATTCCTTTTTCCAACAGCTATGTCCAGACAGCATCAAGTCCTTCAAATCTTCCTCCTCAAACAGAGAACAGCGTCTCAATCTATGAATGTGAACGCTGTCCACAGGTATTCAAAAGTGAATGTCTCCTTGCAATTCACTCCAAGGTACATCAAAAGTGTTCTGATAGTCATTTGTTTTGCAAGTTTTGTGACAAAAAATTCATCCATCCAAAATGGCTGCACAACCATGAGCAAAATTGTCCGAAGTTTGTGTGGGGAAAGCCTCAACAAGATTCCGGTCACATGGCTGTCAAAGAGGGGGACCTCGATTCAGTTAGCATTTTGAGCGAGGAGACCACCAGAACTCAGTTTCCTCCTGTTGACCACCCGGAGACTGGCCCCCTTCTTGTTGATCAATTACAGCTCCCAAAAGATGAAAATAAAAAAAGGTCAGGAGTCGGTCAGAGAAGATACAACTGCAGTGTATGTAAACGGGTGTATATCACACTTTCCAGTTTGAAGCGCCATGAGAATGTACATTCCTGGCAGAGGGCTTATCCCTGTCATTACTGCAATAAAGTGTTTGCATTGGCGGAGTACCGGACCAAGCATGAAGTCTGGCATACAGGCGAACGCCGCTATCAGTGTATTTTCTGCCTGGAAACATTCATGACATATTATATCTTAAAAAACCATCAGAAGTCTTTCCACGGGATTGATCCCACACTAGCCATTAAGCGAAAATCCGCCAATGGTGGTCTGAAAGCCAGTGTTTATCCAATTAAGCTGTACAGGCTTCTGCCTATGAAATTTAGGAAAAGACGATATAAGACATACAGTCAGACATATTCGGAAGGTGATGAGACAGACTATCAAGGACAACTTGACAACAATCCTCTCTGCCCTCAGTTTGAGGGAAATAGTGTGAGCAGTTGCCTCGACGGTGTTTCATTGCCTTTGACTTTCATGGCAACAACAAAGATGGTGGCTCCTGTCATGCCCCGCATCAGCTTTGACAAGCCCTGTAAAACAGATATTGACCAAAGTTTGCGCCACAATTATCACCAGAGCGCAACAGGAAAAGACGCTGAGCATAGTTCACCCTTCATTAACTTTGACTGTACGGTCCCAAAATCTGACCCAGCCAATTGCTCCGAGGGTAATAAAGGTCGCCCTCTTGATCTAATCACCTCACATCACATCAGTCAAAACGTAACATTCTTAAACTCACTGAACACAGTCGAAAAGCTCAGTGAGTTATCCGCTTCTGCAAAACGAGTTGAGAAAATGACTAAGGACATGCTTCGGTCAAATACCGAGAAAGCGAGTCTCAATAAAACAGCGGGCTCAAAGACGCAAACTTACATCGCCAAACCTGTCTGCCCGGGCCCGTCTGCAGATGGTGAAGCGATACCATTATGCCAGATAACGGTAAAAATAGGGGATGAAGCCATCATCCGCCGCAGAATCAAAGGGTCCAAGCTCTTCCCAAGAAGGAAAAAGAGAGAAACGAGAAAACTGGGGGAGATGGAGAGCCAAAGTCAACTCCACCCAGACGGCAAGTTGGAGAGCCCCAGACTCCGCTTCAGACCAGATATTTCAGGTTTAATATCCGAGACCCATGAGGATCCCAATGATTGTGACGTGGCTGATGAGCTTTGGCGTCCCTACTATTCTTACAAAGCTAAAAAGAAGAAAAAGAAGCGGAGATTCAAGCACAGGCAAGCTTTGTTTCATGATTACAATGAGACAGTTAGAACTGACACCGGTGCCGCTGAGGCTCGATTGGACAGTTGGCAAACAGGAGACAGTATCTCAGGTGGGGAAGATGTGAAACGTAGTCTTCACAGAAGTTGTAGCCCAAGGACAACCTACAATTGTGACATTTGCGACAGCTCTTTTATCACTGAGACGGGTTTAAGAGCTCACATTATTGGTTCTCACCCATATTTCTGTCACACGTGTGGAAAACAGGGTCCCCCGGGGGAGACACCCAGTGGCAATGATTACGTTTGCAACAGTTGTATGGAAAATGGCTCCTGCTTTGATAATTCAACCTGGAGCAGCAACCCGGAGAAGAAGTTCCGCTGTTCCTTCTGTCCCCAGCGCTTTCTCTACCTTGCCACCAAGAGAAGCCATGAGAAAAAACACCAGGAGACAGCTGGAGAGAGCTACACCAGCCAACCATGTTTGGAATACTTTGATAACTTGAGTACGGACAACAAAAAAGACTGCATCAAAACAGAGGAGGATGACAATCAAATTTCTGACATGCAATGTGAGGAAGAAGGACATTTTCCCATGAAGAAGCCTAAAACTGAGGATGCAACAGAGTTAATGACTTTGACCCCACAACAGGACATTACATACACGCACATTAAAAGTTCCTTATCGCACCAGACTGAGACGCTGTTCACTTTGGCGTCGCCCTCAAAAACACATCAAATGAAACATAAAGTGAAAAAAATAATCAATCCACCAGATTCTTTAGATCAAGTTTTCAAACCTCAAGCTCAAAAGAGAGATGCCAGTAGACACAAGGACAGTTTGGAAGTAAACAGCGTAATTGATGGCCAGAAATCCTGCAAACCATCAACGAAGAATGCATCGGACTTGAAAGACAACCCCGTCTCTCTTCACAAACCAGAGAAAAGGATGTGTAAAGACGAAACGTTTTTCTAAAGCCCTTTAACCATGGACACCACCAGGAGGCGAGATAAAGAATTAACTTCGAGTCACTTCTGCGAGTAATAAATGTACTAAAGTTGTCTTTGCAGCAGCTTGATAAAATGTTTGGGAAGAACACACTGAATATCAAGGTCAAACATCTGCTTGTACCCTATTGTCAGCAGGGGTGAGTTCATAATGTAATTCATAAAGGTTATGAAGACCCCTCACAGACTTTTATAGGTTGTGAAGACCTTCTGACCCAAACTTTTTGTTTGATTGTTTTATACAAAGCAGTTCATGTGAGCTGGATGGAGGGTCCAAAAAGAGAGCTGTTTCCTGAAAGTATGTTGAAATTGTGTTTTTTGAAATGTTTGCTTGTTCTGAAGATGAATTCCGTTGAATACATCATAAAATTGAGGGCAATGCTTGAACTTTCTGTGGGGGGAGGAAAAAAAAAAACAAGCTTGGGTGGATTTCTTGGACTCCCATGCCAATATAGTTGGACATAGTGGGTTGCACTTTATACTCTCATACTTCCGTTAAAATAATTAAATTACAATTTAATGGTTGGGTAATCCTTTTTTGTTTTGAACACACAGCAGCGGTAAGTCCCGACATTGTTGTGTTTGATATACAGTATTCAGTATACAAACCATCCATCCATTTTCCGAACCGCTTTATCCTCACTAGGGTCGCGGGGTGTGCCGGAGCCCATCCCAGCTGTCTTCGGGCAGTAGGCGGGGGACACCCTGAACCGGTTGCCAGCAAATCGCAGTATATAAACCATATAAAATGTAAATAAATTATTATTCATGTACTAAACCGTTACATCCTGTTGTTTGTTTGTCGAGTTGGAGAAATGATTTCACATTGTTTCGTAAAGCACTGCCTAATGTCACATATATTAACTGAAAGAGAAGAAATCTTTACAAAAGAACAGTAAATACCTTCCCAAATATAAAGGTGATAACCACTTTTCTCATCATTTGAAGAGCAACATCTGAAAGGTCCCTTCTACCTTGAGACAAAAGTCCATGTCATGACTTCCATTCCACATTAAGATCTCAATTTGTGATTACTGGTCGACATATTTATTCATTTAATATGGAATAATAGTATTTTGGCTATGTGATTGAGGCACAAGCCAAAAATGATCCCACTGAATGTCTTGTAAAAAGGAACAATAGTTATTTGTAGTGTCTGGATCACACTGACATCGTCCCCACTTCAGCTTTGCATCTTATAAGAACAAGACACTGATGCTTAAGTGCAGTAAGTTACAGTGGGTGTTTTTTTTTCCTACCATACTATCTTGAGGCACCACGTGTCAATTTTTCGAAATAAAATCTCCCTGCAGGTTTGTTGCACCTTATGTCATGTGTATGTTATAAGTAATAATGTCGCAACTTTGAATTTGAAAATGTATACGGAGGCTATCTTGCGGACAGTACTTGTATGTAACTCATCCAGCAGATGCCACTATTTTCCCGTCGTTCCGATATGCATTTTATATTTAATATAGTCAAGTGATTCAATTGAAATTCTGATAGTTTTCATGTATAATTAAAGTTCTGTTTTTGGTGTAATTTTCTTAGTGTGTCGTCTAACTTCCCGTTCCTGTTGGCTCGAGGGACACGGCACACATTTTTTTTAAAGGATTGATATGAGGCATTAGAATTATGGCAATGTGTCAATTGTGGCCGGCAACAAGTGGGGCAAACATCTCGAGTCGCCAGGCAAGAGCACTTGCTCTGCAAATACACGGAAGTGCGTTTGTTAGCAAGCTTAATGTTTGAATATCAACGAGGGCAGAGTTTACATACTGCAGCTGGATGCGTCAAGTGCGAATAGTGTTGGCCACCACGTTGTTGTGACTTTCGGTCGTATCTTGTCTTCAAATAATGACAGTCAATCACGGCTGTTTGCCATGCGAAGACATGAAGAGAAATCCATCAACGTTGTACTGGCTCCGCTCGTGGGCAACTTCTCTTCCAAAAGGCAGTTGCTAGTGTGCATGCTGTGTTAGGGAGCCTGACGTAACGCGGCAGTGGGGCTGGTTCTCTCCCACTCTGCCTGCCTGCATTCATAAACGGATATGATAAAGCCGTGCTGAATACACAACGGTCAGCTCTCACCATGGCGGAAGAGGACGACGCGAGGATTCGGATTCTACAGAGCCTGCGTGGTAAAATATGTAAGTTTGGCGGCCAGAGCCGATATATTTTCTCTCCGTGAAACCGAGTGAGTGACCACGGGGAACAAGCTAGCAGTAGCGAGAGGCAAAGCCGGAGGGGCGCGGCGTGCTATCTATCTCCAGTCGGGGGGCAGGAGAGCCTGTTCATCGGCTACTTCTGCCGGCTTCTGTTTATCGCGTCAATGTAGCTGCAGGTGATTTCATTCATGAAGCGCGTTCCCGTCGATATGTTGGGGCCAGGGCTGCTGTTCAAATAATAGCGCATTTAAAAACGGAACTCGGCTTGCTTTTATTTGGCCTCTGGTCTTTACTTCAGGTGCTCCGTTGGGCAAATCGCATTTCGAGGCAGCCCTGGTTAGCCACCTTTTCAGTTACCATGTCTGTAGCGTGCGTTATCACTCGTTATTGGCAATAATTTGAGCAATCAGGTTGAAAGCAAACGACTGACGGACGGCGAGTGAAGAGTCACTCAACCGATTACACCCACTCAATGTTGTCTGACAGTGTACTTCACATACAGTCCTATAGTATGAACCTAATAATGTTTTCGACACCCTTGGTATATTATTTCCCTGTATGATACGCTTCTTTTCAACGTCCTTCAACGTCTTTACAATACAGTAGCTGCTGTATGTAGAGATTGGAAAGACTGAACAGAAAATGTCAATGTACGGTGGCTGAGAAGTACCGTCTAAGCAAAATGATTGAAGTTGCATAGGACGTGTGTGTGTGTGTGTGTGTGTGTGTGTGTGTGTGTGTGTGTGTGTGTGTATGTGTGTGTGTGTGTGTGTGTGTGTGGTAACATAATTGTATTGAACATTTTTCACTTGTATAACTTAATAAAATAAAGTTTATGTCTAGTTAAAAAAAACAGTCCCAATGAAAAGGGTATGTACAGGAAGTGCAACCAATCTGTCAATGAAACGTGATCATAGTACTAGATCTGTGAATTTCAGGATACACGTTAACCTTTTGCCCCTTTCTTCTTAGAAGCATTGGAGAATATGACGACCATTTGCACACAATCCCATTTCAATTAAAACAGTTCAAATTTATTTTTCATTAAACAAAAATTTTTAACAAGGAAAATAGCACCCCATCATGTACTTCATAAAAACTTGGTTGAATAGAATGGAAAATATTAAACAGTACATCATGATAATCATTGTGGACAAACAAAGGAAGAAGACTGACATTGACTGTGAGTGACTTTTTAAGCTGCTGTAATATTATTATTATTATGATTATTTTTTGCAGAATCTAGGGAATACCTGTTACCATTTAGGTTCAAATATCTTAAAGCTAAAGCGTTAAAACACAGATAATCATCATTTGTCTGTGTGATGTTTCCCATTATGTGTAGATAACGTACTTTGAGGCAAAGTTATGTGGTTTTTAAATACACAAGGTGTAATTCTTTTTGTTTTGTTTTTGGTTATGTGGTTGTTTTAAATACTTGAGGTGTGATTTTCTATGATGTATGGGTTTTTTTCGATAAGCTTCTGATGGTCATTGCATTAAGCCACTTTTTTTTTGAAGAATTGTTCACTATCTTTCAACTCACTTTCAACATCTTTGATGTCTGTCCTATCACAGCCCTATGATGTTTTTTTATGGACCACATTGACCTTAAATCATTAAAAGAAAGGCTAAGGCACATAAGCATAGGAGTAAAACATGAAAGCAAGTGTCAGTTTCACTACTATGAATTAATCCGCTAAGGAGAACAAAATAGAGAAACTATCACCTCATGTAACTCACTTTGCCATCTTATGAAACAGCACTCTTACACATTGACCCATTGTTCGTTTTCCTCTTTCATACACAATTCTTGAGCGGTTCATCTTCTGTGTATATTTCAGATGAGCCACTTTACACTTTGTGGGGGACGTTGTGAAACCAGATGCTCTGCAAAATAATGAATGACTTGAATATCTTAGGTGCTGGTTTTTAAAGGTTGACGTGTTAACGTGTCCGAATGTTGACAAAGGCGCATGACAATCCAAATTGGAATTAAATGACCTGTTCCCAATCATTCCTAAACAAACTGTGAACTATAAACATATTAGTTAACCTTAACTGTAGCAGATATATTTTTTGATGTATTTTTATGCAGTTCAGTCTGCTGCCCTTATTTTTAGCTGTGTGTCTTTCAATGCACTGCATGTTTGCACTGTGGTTGAGAGAGGGAAGTAATTTCATCTGTGCTGTATGTTGCACATAGAGCATATTTGACAATAAAGCTTGACTTGACTTGACTTAGCTTGTCAACTGACTAACTGGAAGCTTTTCTTAATTACGTCCCCACCGGTGCTTAAGATTAGCGCAAAAGGACCAATTAAGGCTGTCTGTTTCTGTCTTTCTAATCCCTTTAGTCCAAATCTGACCTGTTGCGAAGATATTGACAGCATTCTACCTTTTGGTTTTCACCTTTTCATCATCACCTCCCCCATCACTGGGCGGGATGCTGGTGCCAGTGACAGGCACAGCCTGCAATGTACTTTGCATGGTGCTGAGAAGGTGGCTGGCTGTAAGGTCCCGTCCATTCAGGACCTGCATGGCTCCGTGACCCGGAGCCATGCAGGTCAGATTACAGCTGATCCTACTCACCCTGGACCCAGCCTGTTCCACCCTCTCTTCATTTGCAGAAGGCTACGGTCCATTTGGACCAGAATCTCCCGCCACATGAACAGCTTCTTCTCGTTGTTTTTATGTGTACCAAATTCCACACATTTCATTTCTTCAGAGTTCAATAAATACTCAATTTCCTCCTCTCATACATATCCAAGTTTAATACTCACCATTGACATTTTTTTTA